GTGCGTTACCGCGCTTGTTAGAGAGAGAGGGGGGATTGAACATTTGGTAACCTCACTCACTTGGTGGAAAGCAACAAACGAATTGCTTAACACCGGTTTTCTGTGAGACCCTGGTATAGTCCAATGCAAACTTAATAGCGGCTCTGAAGTTAGCCGCGCACACAGTCCTACCTACCTACAGTCAAGTCGACACGACTGTACGTAGACAGGAATATATGCGCATGTGCAGTGTACGGATGTAACTCACACACTAAAAGGCATGCTCTGCTCCCGCGCTCCTTTACATCCCGTTGCTGCCTATTATTGTGTTCTGCGCATCGAAAGTCAAAACGCTCGATCTTCCCAGTCGCCATTAAGTTTACTGACTATATCTTGTAGACCCTTTTTTTTCCTGTGTGGAAATCCCGACGGATATCACCCACCGGCGTGATTATGTCGGACTCGACCAAAAACCGCACACAATCCAGTAGCTTGTAGACCCTACGATTAAATACATACAAACAGAAACGCTTACGCTTTTATGGTATTACACGAGGGTGTTGTAAACACCTACAAACTCAAGCTCTGGCTCTGGCTATGGTTCACAACTGACGGAGTTCTGAGGTAACAAACATAAAGAAAACCGCAACCGAATTGAGAACCTTTTCTTTTTTCAAATCCTTAAAATGTTACTAACCCGTATTTGCATGTGAGCGAATCGCGAATCGTATGCGCAACACTACGTTTATAGAATTGTATTCTAAGCTATACAACATAATATTGATTGGACGGATTTTAACTAATACTGTAGTAGCCCAGAAACAGATATAAGTATAACAGTTAGTATAGATTATGCAAAGATATGCTGTCGTGGTGAATGAAAGCAATCAACACATTCAAATTAGAAAGGCATAGCTATTGAGATTTACAACTTGTTTCGGGTGATAGCTAGCTATCTAATGATTTCGCATCATTACTTGTACAATAAGTCTCATTCGAGTTTGTTAGAGTTACTTGTATTTTAAAAAAAATATTATTAAAGGTTATGTTATTACATACACACACCCATATCTACCTATATATCCTCGAAGAAGGTAGACCAAGGCTTATTAAACGCCCACATTTTGAGGATTAAGTACGGTCCGTAATAAAGGTGGAAGACTATTGCCCTAAACCGTCCATGGGCCATATTGGGAGTATATTGAACGGACAAGAATGTTAAGGCATATATACATAGTAGGCCAAAACCTTTATAAGGAGAGGCCTATGTCCATCAGTGGACTATTAAAGGCTGTTGATGATTAATTATTATATTCCAAATACAATGTAATTTGTTTATAACTATGACCTAACCTGAGGCCCAAGTGCGACAAGTACTCGATCGTCACGGTCGGCGCTACGATCGGACCGCACTGAAATCTCCACCAATCGCAACGCTAAACGCGCTCGCCGTCGAGAGCAAGTCGATGAGAAATAAACTTGCACTCATCCCTCCCTCAAGCCCTTAGATCATGCCATCGTAATATTTAAAAGATAAGAATTAAACTAAATGATGTGTTTTTACATGTGTAAATATAACCAGGTTTTGATATTTAGAATAACATTTTTATCTTCAAAACATATGATAAGCATACAGAAAAGTTTTATTTAAAATCTCAGATTGTATCAACAGATTGCACAAGGTATTTCACATAACAATCGTTCTTCAGGATCAGTTAAAACTTTGTCATTTAAACATCAATAAGCTTCATGTAATGTGACAGGGTTATTACATGCCTTTTTCAAGGCCAATTCGCCGGGAGCTAAAAAAAATTCAAAAAATAATAAAATCTATATATAAATGTTAAGTTGGTTTGTGTACGCTTCAAAAACGCAAAAAGTGCTGAATCGATTAAGCCCAAATTGTGTCACGATAAACAACACGCTTCAAAAATGGTTTTTATCTATTTTTCGCGGCCACAATGTGCCACAGCGAAGCGTGTCAGGGTACAACTAGTATAATGTAATAATATAATCCTAATGGGATTCTCCAAAAAGGTCATTATTCAAACCACTTGCTGCGGTACTATTTACATGAACTGAACTCACCTCACTGTTTTTTTATATCATCCATTAGGTAATCATGGTCATCGCCCGGTAGCTTTGATTCTTCAAGCTCGACTTAAAGCCTATTGCATAACTGTTGTTATTCGTTACCACCAACGTAATTACTTCTTAAAAATATCTTTCTATTTGTATAACATTAAGGTTCACAGTCGAATGAGCTATTACGATTTATCGGAAAATGTGAGTCATGTTATGCAGCTGTAAGCACTATTTAAAATTCCTTAAACCGTTCGAAATTCGAAACTGGCGTATTTACGGTAAAGACTGTTTTATATGGCGCTCGTGCGCGGGCGCATTCTCGTTCGCATTCAATCCTTTGACTACCGCTAATATATTAGAATATTATGTACTTAAATAGTGAGAAAGATGTATTGTGGAATCTACAGCATTCCCTGGGTAATTGAAAACTAATATTAGTCCCGGCTACATATAAAACAACAGTACTGGTAATATGAGAATCCAAATTGCTAAACAATTACAAAGTTTCAGAATGCAGCTTCTACAAAATGGTACTAAAATTTTACTGAAAATATTATCTGTGATGAACTGCTAATATTTCATTTCTTTTATGATTAGTTTAATATTATTTCTACCTTTCTACTTCTTTATTTAAGAAGCGAGGGTCATTGAACAATGGTCGTTTTTGCAATGTGCAAACTAGTACTAGTAAGACTCATTACCAAACAGATACAAGGACCGGTCCAAGATAGGCAGGTCATGGGCCTATGACCCTGGTTTGGGTCTAGTTTGTATGATAAAATTGGATCTTGTCATGAGTCCTAACAACAAATATCTCTCTCAGTCAAGAACTTGTTTTAAAACTATTACTGTTATTACATCCAACCCCAACTGAAGTTAAGGATCTAAAAGCCAAATACCTGAATAATATTCTAAAACCCTTTACAATATTCTAAATAAATAAAATAGTATACTCCCACAGGAATCTTCATATTGACACATCTCCGCTCAACAAACACTAAATATTTGAAAGTTGTGGGAACCTTGACCGTATAAGGAATAGACGCAACATGTATTTAACATGTCTAGGAATTGTATGAACACAAATACAATAAACATTAAAGAGTTACATAATATAACGGTTTATAACTGGTGCCAGAGTGATTTGCTACAATGACTTGACAAAATATTTCGCTTCCATTTGCCCAATATGGACGAATTATCCCGATGAATATAATGCCACATTTTTTTTCACAATATAAAGGAACAAGCTCGTACTATTTGTGAGTGGAGATGGTTTCACGCCAATTGTAATTTATTTAAATAATAATATTATTATTATTATTTATTTTTATTTCTTGACTTCAAGAAAATAGCAGGTTCTCAACTCGGTTGTATTTAAAAGACAAAGTTGTTAACTCTTCATGTAGGAACTGATTGGGAAAATTCTTATTATTTTGGGAGGTTGTACCTACTTCCCCCTAAAAAGTACTTAGGTGGGTGAAAATTAAGGAATGAAAAATACAATTCATAATTCATCATGATGTAGGCACAATAGTATGATCTTGTAATAACTAAATTGCTGCATACCTGAATTAGTTTGTTTTCACATAGATTTAATGAAAAAAATATAATGGGTAATAAGTCGAAGTCATTTAATCTGTACCACCTTTAAAACTGTATAAAACTCCTGGTATTTTCTCAATTTTTTTTGCTTAAAACTTTAAATCAGAAAACAATATAAGAAATGTAAGGGAAATACCGATGCCTCAGATGACTACCTGAACGTTATCAGTTTAGACAGTATTGCCTCAAGAAATGTCTCGTAATCATTGATAAAGGCACCAGATGTATGACAGCTATCAGGTTTTAGTTTATCAGCGTTCAAAACGTTGTACACTGCTTCTAAAGTGTAATAGTGTCGAAATTTATCATCATTTTACGAATCCATTTATAAAAATATATTTTTTTAAGTTCAGAAACTGTAACCCATTAGCAGTTGCATACCTCAACTCATTTAATAAAAAATAAACCATATTTGTTCTATAATATTTCATAACCTACATATTGAAGGACATCAATTTAAGAGAAGGGCCTAATAATACATGTATCTTTAGATTCTAATCGAACTACATTAAAGCAACACAATGAAATCCTCTATATAATTCAACCTTTACGATACCTTCAGCCATTGCACGACATATTATCGATCATTTGATCTCACGTAATTGATTCGATGCGTCTATCAATATATCGATGTTGCTTATCTGAATTACTGAGTCCTTGTACAATTTCATCAGATCCAACAGTTTAGAACTGGGGCAGATCAGAGTAGCAGAACAAAAAAACATTCCTTAAGCTTGCGCAACATAATAGTTTCTAAATTCAAATGCAATAAAATTATACAGTTTGCGTATCTTTTGATTGCAAATCGATTAATCGTGATCGCACCAGCCTCATCTATTTTAATACGAAAACATAATTGGATCTTTGTTGTTTCTATAATAGTATGGTCATCTCTAAAATGTATTGCGAATTCGTTATAAATTAAATTTACAATACTATAAACACAAATCAAAACATCGTTTCACTGCGTAGAAAGCAAGAGTAAGATTATCACTAAATATATAAGAATATTTCTCAATATAACGATATCATTGGTGAATCATGTCTTTTTTTTTGTTGCAGGCTTACTTACAATAGTCATCGAGAATTCCGTTCGCATATTTACAACGGAAAGACCTTGGAAGTCTGCAGCTGACTTTGAACGCAGAGTAACGCGCTGTCACTTGCGCAAGCGGTTCACCTACGACCCGTTACGAAAGTTGAGCTTGTACTGAACAAAGTGAGGACGGTGGCGAGTAGGTGACACGCACTTGTGGGATGTGCCGGCAACATCACATAGATGTGCAGGTAGACGTCACCTGATTCGGACCAATACTGGATGAGGCGGAACCATGAAGTTCTCAACTGGCTCCAGTTCGAGCAGTCTTGCCAGCGATTCGCTGTCGAGGAAATCAACTCTATGTATCTATACAGAAATTGATGCCCCCACTTTGCCCCCGCCTTGCGAAAGGGTGAGTATCTACTTAAATACGATTTAATCACACAGGTATCATAATATAAGAACGTTTACTAGACGCCTTTATTGTAAAATTTTAATAGGTGAAATAACGAAAGGTGAAAGCGCGTCGATAAAGGTAATATAACCTTAAGCATCTGGGTAATTTGCTTTCGATTTTGCACTACTACGCGTAGTACGTACATGTAGTATGCGTATATTAAAACTTTCAGTTTCGGACAACGATAATAATAATAATACTAATGAAAACAATGCAAAAAGCCGCGCGTCCGGGTTGGAGAGTTCGGAACATACGAGAGAAAGTAGCATCTCATCTCTGGTACGAACCACCTGGCCACCGATGGTATTTTGCAACACCTTGAATATTTATTTTTCTCATTGTCCAACCCTATTCGGAGTCACAGATCTTCTTGGATGTACAGCAATAAATACTCATTTAAATTTTAAACTTCGCTACTTGCTTCATAGCTTTAACTGTGGTATCCTCATATTTATTTATTTCAGTGTGATTTATCACGAGGGACTGAAGAAACTGTATAATATTAACTATAAAAAACTATGAATATATTCATATATAAACGACAGTCAGATGTCGAATATTAAACAGAATTGAGTCATTATTACGAATACTAACCTTGACCTCACTGAACTTTAACAAAAATGATTTAACTTCTTCAACAAAGATTATATGACTGAGCCGTGTTCTTGAAAATTGACATTAAGAGTATTTTCAATAAACCTTTGATTAATGACTCGTTCATCTTCAAACGATTGCGTATTGCTTTATATTTTATTGTTGTTGTTGCAACAATAGTTAAAATACAAATTCATTGTATAATCTCAAGGTTTATATACCAACTAGTTACTATCGCAAAATGAAGTAACAGCGATTCTAAAAGTCTAAAAAATAAGTAAACATTAAGTAAAAAGAAATGTTTATTTATTTCTACGACTACACCTAAGATAAATCTCAAAATTTCAGACACAAATTTGTGGCTTGCAATGAAAATTAACCATCTGCAAGGTCGTCAAAGAATTCAAAGTTTCAAAGAGGCATAAACAGTAGTTGTTAAATTCCAAGTAATATAAATTGCTACTGAATAAATAGTTATGGTATTCATACAGCAGTTACTATGAGAACTAGGTTAATTGAATGAAATGCTACTGTGGATCGTTTGGCTTCCGCTTTCATTAAAGTTTAATCTGTACTCCTAAGTCTTTCAATAGCTTTAGAACTTACCTGCTGATCTATGGCGGGAAATGGGATACTTCGGGGTTTATTACTACCTAGTTCTATCTTATATATAAAGTAGAACCCCTTGTAAAATATCCTATAATCATAGATTTAAAATGCAAAAGCATATTTTGTACATTAAAATGGTAGTTTTTGTAATGGTAACTTCTAAGAATTACAGTTATCTTTGCTCGTTGAAAAACTTCAAACTTACCTAATAAAATTTAGCTACTTAGTAACATAAGCGGTTGACTCGAAATGACGGAAGTTCACGCACGGTATCCCACGTGTATGTGATTCACGTGTAGTCTTTTTAGTACAGTGAAATGAATAGGTGCTATTATAAAACAACACTGTAGGATCCGAAGTGATGATCATGTAATCAAACACTTTGCTAAAGTCGATCTCTCGAGTTGAAAGTTTACACACAATTGCATACAACTTGTAAATGCTACAAGTTCTTCATATATTACATTGAAATCACTACTCTAAACAACCCAAGTACAATTTCTTTTGCAGATTGCATCTCATAACAAAGAAATACAACTGGTAAAACAAATACATTATCTAACGTAACACAGTGGTCGAATTCAATTATCTCCGACGACAATACCGCGCTGTCACTTTCGCCGGTGTAGGATTTCAATCATGCTATCTGCAATATTTCATATCTCCACTATTATCTACTGTATATTCATAGGCCATTGTCTTTTGTCCGGGTAATGAACTTTTACCATTACAAATAAGAAAGTAACTAATGACTGCGTTTAGTGACCGCTTGAATCACGGTATACGTGTCAGCGGACAGTTGATGTATATTGATGATTTGTTTGCAACATTTTGTTGTAATAGAAAATTGGTATGTAAAAGTTTTGTTGTTTTGACAGTACAGTGTATACGAGTACTATTATAAGAATGTGTTATGTCTATGGTTTCGTTAAAAATTATTGTAGAAAAAAATAAACGTTTCGGATGCCTATAAAGTTAATAGAAGTAGATCACAATGGATATACACTCACGCTCACTTAGGCAGTAGGAATCTTCTAAGGAGCTATTCACACTCAAAATAATTTTATGTGTAATAGTTAATGTGCTTGAAATTGTTTTCAGAACTTTCGAGTTTCTATTCTTCGCGAGTCCAAATATTTCTTCCTTGTACCCTTTTTCACAAAACTTTTTACATTTTCATGGCGTTGGCAATGATGCCAGAGAGTAATAATAATTCAGGATCACAAGCCGTGAGTTTGAAGGTTCTCGTAAAATGAGGATAACTGCAATCTTGTATATTTTAACTTTAATTGGTTTTTTTACCACATTGAGTAATTCTAAAAGAAATATGTATGAAAGTATACAATTATTTTATGTAATCTCATTTTTATGAATATATCAACCTTCAAAAATACAAATGTTGATTACTAAAGCACCAATTACCTAGATGATCACTCGTAAGTTTAATAAATATTATTATTTCGGCCTTCGTATATGTATGAGATTGCACTTATTATGTCACCGTAAAGTATCATAATAAAAGTAATAAAGACGTTGTTATGACGTCATTTTATATTTATTCTAGAGTTGGAGGAGATGGGAATGACATTAGCATAACAAATGGTAGCATTGTTGAATTTGTGAGTACAAAACACGCACACAGATACCAAAAATCATGCATCCAGCAGCCTATAAATTAGAATCTAGACATTTTTTTCACCAATTTCCATTTTTAAGTAATACCCTGGTTAACATTACTTTTGAAGTATTCAATGGAAAAACTGTAAACTACACTGTTTATGTGCATTCGTTGTAATTGTAACCAATTTGATCGATGTTTGTATCTTGATATTAATTTATAGACTACATCTATACTCAACCGAATAAGATCAATAACAATAGTTTCAATTACGTCATCTGTAATTTACTCTAAAATTAGTAAACAAAGAAACCCGAACATTGTAAATAATTTGCCTCCATTAGCAAAACACTTTCTCGACAGCCGAGAACAATGTGAAGATTGCGGCAGTCCAATACGCGGGATTGTCGTAAACATGAAATATCTAGTTAACTATCTAGACTACTTAATCTTTCCTGATATTATTGTATCCCCCATACGAAGACGCCATTCTCTGCCACAGACTTTTATGGACACGCCAACCAGAAACAAGCAACTTTATGTTTTTTAATTTTAAGTAAACCTCAGTACATTGGTAACTTTCATCTTACGACCTTAGTTTCGTTCTCCTTGTTTATCGGACTGTATATTTACGCTCCTTTTATTTCATAGTTATCTGATACTGTGGTTTTTGGTCCAACTCTTTGTACTCCAATATTGTTGTCGACTATTGTTTGATTGCGGTCTACCTCCTACACTTCACTTAACCGTATCAGTATCGATTTATCGATAGCATTGATATAGGTGTTTTTATCTGCCATTGTGATTATTTTTCTAGGTAATAAAATTTCACATGCATTCGCTTGATGTAACGTTGTTATCGAAACCGGATTACTACTATTTGCATTTTATTCAATTTATGTCATTGATAGTAAAACACGCGATAGTAAATAATAGCAACGACAAATAAGGATTTTATAAGTTTTAAGGTCTTCATAACATTAAAGTCATTTGTCTACGGGGTAGTCATAAGAAATTTAATGAAACTATTTTAACTAAATAATACTTTAATACATTATGTATATTGCTTCTTCAATTATTTTCTGTAAAATCGTCTGCATAGAAAATATGCATGATAACTAAATATTTTTAACAATCTAAAATATTTTTTTAGCACTTCAGTTTAAACTGTATTGACCGTGCAGGTTTTTAAAGGATTAAAAGACAGAATCATATGCAATCACAATTATGCAACAATCATCTTGCTGCCGTAAATGATGTACTCCCGGCTCTCCACCGGAATCTGTTTCACCTGGTAGACAGGTATCAAAAACAGGAATGTTTGCATTCCTCAATGTAATCTCTAATTCCATACGGCTATCAAAGTCATTATTATAATTAGCTTTTCAGTTCTGTAATAACAGTTTGCTCTCATCGCGTGGACGTCCTTGAACGAAGCGTGCAGAATTGCACGATTCTTTTTCTAAACTGTTAGAAACGACTGCGCTTGTTACATCAACTAGCAAAATGGGTATTTCTATTAAACATATCATGTAAGTGACTGATTTGTCATTGTTATAGGTTCCCATGAAGAGAAAGAAACTGTCTTATACTCATATTATCAAAACAAAATATTTTAACCCTAGGGTTAACTAGTTCAGGACCTTTTTTTTGTAGACAGGGTGGAACATCTCTTCAGATCTCCTGCTCCTCGAGGACTCAGGAGCCAGGAGTATGTGGTGATTCCAGTAAAAACCCCTTTCCGCCCTCAATTGCGACGTGGCGGTCCAATTGCGTCTTATCGCAACCATCCTATCCCTCCTAGTTAAGGACCTAGTTTCTAACACGCTAGCATTCAGTTATAATAAGGTAGTTGACCTACTATGAGTATGTCAAAAACGACATATGTATAAAGTATCAAATAACAACGTTTGTTATTATACTTAGCTGACCTTAAATCTTTTTCTTTCAAATGTTTAAACATTATTCAATTGTTTATATATTAATATATTATAATAAACGTGGAATATTTTTTTCAAATGGTTGTTTAAAATTTTAAGTTTATAATTTCATGAAGACAATAAAATAATTTTGTTTAAACACGTGTGACTACCTACTTATATTTGATGTTTCTAATTGGTCAAAACTTTTTACA